CACACGCACACGCACACGCACACGCATGCACACGCACACGCACACGCACACACACACACACACACACACACATTGTGTTATGAGGTTTGATTAACAAATACTGAAGAGCAATTAACTCAGCTCTTTTTAATTATATCTTATTTATCTTAAAAATGAGAAGGTAAAGATGTATTATTTTCTTTGGCCTCAAAGCAGTTCTTAATAACAAAGTCATCTATGTGTGAGCTGATTAAACAAATCTTATAGGGGGAATTCTTTCAACAAATATCTACTCATAAAAGGTCAGCTACATACTAACATCTCTTTGAAAAATATGTTCCACTGTGCATGCAATACTTCGTGTGATTAAACAAAGACATGGATGCTATGTTTTTGTGAGTATGTAAGTGAATGGTGTAAGAGAATGTCATTTAGTATAAACGCACAAGACTTGTGAATTATGTTAAAGGCTCTTGCTTCAAATAGTCCGATTGTGATGTGAGCACCTCTACTTAATGAGAGAAGCCTACTGTAGCTACTTTCCATGAGCATGTCATGTTTTCACGTATGTGCAATCGGCATTTGTTACTTTTATGTTGGAACATTCAGGATCACATGGAGGGGCCGGGGGCTTATTCCAGCATACATCAGATCAAAGGCGGGTAAACACCCTGGATGGGTCTCCAGTCCTTCACATATCATCATCTGTATGTGATTCATACATTTGGACCTGCCACCCCAGTTATTGCAAATTCAAATGCATTACCATAAAAAAAATCAACAAATGATATGTCTAATTCTAGTACAACCCAATGGTCTTGACACATGTAAAGTTGCAGTTAAAAATACTCTTGTTTTAACAGACAAAAAAAAACTTCTCATCATTAGAGACTCCTGTGTGGAAATTATTAAACTCATCCTTGATATATTTAAAAAAACTCTTCGAAGCAACCACGTGACGACACAACACAACTAAATACACCTCAATACAAGTAGTTTGCTTACATGAAGGAAACGATAAGTCTTCATGCCAGCAATTTGAAATGTTCCTGTGACGCACACTGCAACATAACCCCTCCTTAGAGACATAACAGCGTCTCTTCAGCTTAGAAATATTGTAGAGATCATTGTCATGGCGACAGCTGCTGCCACCTTCTCATTTCCTGTGCTCCCTCTAGTTGAGCTCATCTTGTGGACAAACAAACCTCTCCTGATGTGCCTGCTACAGGAACATGCTTTTCCAAACCTGCCAATGAGCGCTCAATGCTGAGTTTCCAGCCTGACTTTACCAGACCAGATCAGACCTGTGATCCAGAGTTACAAATAATAGCACCGTCTAAAGAGCCATTGAAATTAATACACAGTTTATGTTACCTACATTTAATTATGAAACCAAAATTGTCCTAAATTTGAATTTTTCTAACATTGTCTAACATTTGTCAGGCCACTTTTGGAGTGAAATAACATTGCAAACATGTAGTGCTGGACTCCCGAAATAATGTGTTTTTGTCATTGCTTGTTTGTTTTACAGGCATGAATGGTGATTAAATATCAATTCAAGACAACCATTTTCATTATTTTGAAATATGTCACATAATAATGACTTGGAGCAAGTGAATATTTGGTGTTGCAATCTTGAATGCTATGTATTATTTTAAACCCCTTATCATCCAGTAAATATAGAAGTATACCCAAAAAAAGGAGGGAAAAGAAAGGACAAAAAAATAACTTAAAAATGAGTTAAATAAGTTCATGCCATTTATTGTAGACTCTGAATGAATAATGCATAAACACGTTTTGACAGATCAGCAGACTCATTCTCGTTTTTAACTCAGCAGGAACTTTACACTGGAGTCGTGATGTGGTTCATCTCTTTTAGGTCATACCTTCCTCAAGAGGAGCCCAGAGAGAGTGACTAACACTCCCCTATACGTCACTCACAGTGCTAAAAATAAACTGTGCAGGAATGTGACTGGAATCCTGGAAAATGGTTTGTGTGTTAGAAATTGCGTGTGTGTGCGTGTGTGCATGTGTGTGTTGCATTGACGATGAACCTGCTGTGGATTTGGCATGATGTCCCATTTAGAAAGGCTAAATTAGGAAATAATTAATTAAAACTAATTTTGAATATTGTATTGGTAAATGATAAAATATGTATCTATATAATTTATATAAAATAAATGATAGAGACCCAGAGCTGTCCCTTGACTTTCCACTGACAGTGTTATGACTTGCTCCCCTGAGAATAAAAAGTGTTCCTGCCCTTCATGGACACATGTCCTACCTAACAATGTAGTAATTCATCCACCTCTCTATCTATCTATCTATCTATCTATCTATCTATCTATCTATCTATCTATCTATCTATCTATCTATCTATCAATCCATCCATCCATCCATCTATCTATATATACATCCATTCATTGAGCAATTTGTCCATCTAGGTATGAATGTTGAATCCTGAATGAATGTCTTTCTCTTCCAACACTCATGCCTGGTTATTTATATTCGCGATTGAATCATCGGCTATATTGTCATGGATGTGACGCATGCGCAGTAGCCAGTGTGAAATTCTGAATCATCGATGGAAAGAGAGAGAGGGTGGGGAGAGAGAGGTGACTGTAGAGTGATGGGACCCGGCTGAGGGAACAGCAGCGAGTGATCACTCTCCGAGCTGGTAATGACAGGTAAAATTACGATTTAAAATGATTTAGAATAATATGTTTCCACTCATAGTCTCTGATCAATTGTTGATTTGTTAAATGTCGGGAAATCATATTTCCTGCATGGACTCGGTCAGCGGTGCACGCATCATCTTGCACAGCTGGAAGTAGCGATCATGTGGATACAATCTCGGAAAGAAAGCTCTTTGAAACTTTGTGTTGTCATTACATAATAATCGCTGGTTTCTGTTCTTATTTACGCGCGTTTCGGGCGGTGGATTCTCAGATGAGATACAACTTCAACCCTATAAATTGTACCTGCACATGTCATATTTCGTGATTATGTGTTTCTGGTGTTTAAGACGGCACGCGACCTGATTTACGTCTAATTGTTTAGATGCAAAGACTTAGTTTAATTGAAAAGCGCACTGTGTCTATCTGCGTCTCTGGGGGGGTTGGGAAGAGCTCTGCTCTCAGACTGGCGTCACATATGACGTCTGTGTGTTGTCTTGCTTGGCTGAGGGCTTGATGATAATAATGGCGATAAGCACCACAGCCAGCTCCCGGTTTAGCGGTGGACAGGACATCTTGTAGCTTACTTCAGACTTTTGGCTTTTGCATCTACACTTTGGTGTTTGTATTTCTCTACTCTGGTTTTTATTTTTCAGATGACATTTGGATTGAGGTCAAGATAGGAGATGTATTTGGTCTGTCTTTTGTGGATAAAGAAACATTTTAAAATATGAGAGAATGCTTGGGAAGACTGGAAATGACCCAGAAAGAGACACACTGTCTACCTGCGAGCCCATTTCAATTGAATATTTGTCCATTTTGTTTTTGTTTTGTTATTTATATGTCTCCATCCATTGAGTGTATGCTGTCGTCTTATTCAGTCAATCAAATATTCTCGTCTGTAAATGGCCTTATGTCATGTGTTGGCTGTGTTTCTGTGTGCTTGGCTGTTGCCATAGACCACAAGGTCAAGGGCACTGAAGCTAAGTTTGATTTTTTTCACAAACATGTCGATATATACATGAAGAAAAGACAACATGACATTTTAAATTCCCACTCAAGTTTAGTGTTTGACTTTAAATAGATGAAGCCTCAATGTAGTCTCTATACCTTGTAGTTCATAATGAAAAATCTGTCATATTTCCATATTACACATTATCATTATAGCTGGATGAATATTTAAAATATCTTGCATATGCAGTGAGGATGAGCAGCATCTGGGCGGATTTAGATTGCGTGACAGACCTCAGCAGGTACAAATGAAGCAGTAATACGATTATCACAATGTAGCAGGGAACAGTGTGTCTCGTCTTGATGCAGCATCTTACTCATCACACTCAGGTGATGTTCTGACTGAATCTCATACAATGTGGGAACTAATGTTTGGCCATTTTATGAAATGAGACACTCTCCATCTCCTCTTCACATTTCCACACGTTTATTATTATTATCTATAAGGAGATTCAGACAAGAAAAGCAGTGTACAGAATAGAGTTGCAACATATTAGCTGTGACTCTCCAATGTTAAGATTATACCCCACATTCTTTAACGTTAAGCGATCAATCTAATGAAAGTAAATCATACATCAAAAGGTTTTATATTCTGATTGTCCGAGACCCTTAGAAGGCAAATCGTGACTGGGTTATATAAAAAAAAGTGACATTTAAATGAGTAATGTCAGTTTTCAATGACAAATAGGCAAGATAATAGTGAGGTATGTAATCGATTCATTAATATGAATGCCTCTCAAAGTTTTAATCACACATGTTGTGTCATGCAGACTGAAGGTCAAAGGTGCTCTGTTGTGCGTACCTTCCTAAAATGTCCTTATCATTACTGCATACTGACTATTCCTACCTGCATACAATTTGGGTAATAGTTCCTTGATAAGTTGACCATAAAGTGCCTCCAGATAGAGGCCCAACATGTATTCCCTTCAGTATTCAAGCCAACAACATGTTTTTTGTGCAATCACTGCTACTTATTTCACCCACAAGTCAATGTACATTCCTATCCTGGTGAACCATAAACCCATTAAGCCCCATCAGTAACACATACTGCTTCTTTGTGTAGTTCTGTTTCTTCGTCCAAGTGTCATGTATCATAGGAGCTTGCTGCTTTTGGATCAAACTATATTATAAACAAATGTGTGTCTGCGATGTCTGTACACATTGGGCATTTTGAAGAATATGACAACACTGGGAGCAATATGTTGGTCCCAGTGCTGTTCTGCTGTGGTGCAGAAAATTAGGATTTAGAGCTATAGCTGACGGAAAATTGAAACAGAGTTGTGTTTGTACCAAGGCACTGAGCTGGGAAATGCCTCTGGATCTCAAATGGATGCTGAGGGACTTGTAAATGCTCCAAGTAAAAAGGTCCTAGAGCATCTCTTCTGCGGTCTTTTAATTGAATTTGTTTTTATAGCCTCAGAATACAGAGAACAGGGTAACAAATATAATGTGTGATTTCATTTGATGCTGCCAAAATAGCTACTCACATTACCTGAATGATCTTTCTGTATAAACATTTGAATCCTCTAACAGCACATTAGTTTAGGCAAATTACTTTTTTCTACACATCGCTGATCTATTCAAAAGATATCACGTGGATTAAATTGTTGTTATGGTTGGATTTGTTATGTGAATGAAACTCCTCCTATATGTCAACAAGCAAGGTCATCTTTACACAGCATGTCCTTTATACTGTAAAACATATATGTTTTATATAACAATATAAAATGCAACACACAATACTAAATAAATTGCTTGATTTTCGATGCACAGCTAAAAAAATGGATGTTGATGTTATTATTTTTGCATGAAATGAATTATCGAAAGAGGAAAAGGTTATTTCTCTGCATGTCAGCACCCTCTGGGTTCAGCCGGCACTATATTGAATCTAAAAAGGAGGACCGATTCAACATCTCATGGCTTATTTCATAACGGCAGACATTGAGAACGCATCATTCATCTCAATGTTCTGAGGCACCAATGCCTTCAGTACAATGTTACATAACTTTCTGGCAGTGTGTGTGTGAGACGGTACATGCTTGTGTGATACATATATGTTCTACACTGTTTATTTATGTGTGCATGTTTATGCATGGTTAAACACTATGGAGGTTTTATCCACAAACGTGTGGGTGGCTGCACACCCGGCATTCATCCGCGTGTGTGTGTGTGTGTGTGTGTGTGTGTGTGTGTGTGTGTGTGTGTGTGTGTGTGTGTGTGTGTGTGTGTGTGTGTGTGTTTCCTCAAGCAGGTAGACAGGTGTGAAGGATGACTTCTTGCTCAGAGATCTGTGGGTCGGAGTATGGTGAGCAAGCCCAAGCCAGCGGAAACTGCCAACAGTATGGAGTCCGGTCTTACCTACACCAGGTACACAACACACACACACAGGGCAATTTATTCAACAATTATCAACTGTTTTCTTTTTGAAAACTTTGATTAGAGGCTTTTAGATCTTGATCTCTGGTGGGTTTTCAGGGTCCATGTTTGGAAAGTGAAAACATCTGTCTGTTTTTTATCTCTTCTCCAGTTTTACGAAGAGTGCACAGCTTCTATCTGGGAACGTGATGAAGATTTTCAGATTCAGAGATCGCCTAGCAGGTGGAGCTCTTTACTCTGGAAGGTGAGTTTAAGCAGCCACTAACCTGCTGGTTTCTTTGGTCGTGTAGTCGTATAACATGTCATTGTGTTCTCGGCCAGGTCTGTCTCGCGTTCGGATCCCTGATCTTGTTTGCGGGCCTTATTGTTGTTTTGGTCGGATATGCCACTCCAACTAGGACCGAGGCATTTGGAGAGGATGATCTCCTTTTTGTTGACAGGTAAAAGAAAAATGCAGTGTATTAATGGAAGGGGGTTAATGAAAACGTTCCTATCCCTACACAGCAATTCTGTGTATTTAACACTTACAGTTGGAATCCTTTTTTCTATGACATCATTGTAATGGATGGCTCATTGTTTTAGTGGAAGGAAATGCAGTTCATTACATAAAGGTCAAAACAATTTCAACAAGTCAACAAAGACATTTCAAAATGGAGAATAGCCTTTTTAAAAATGGTTCCGAGTGACTTTTTGGATGCATATTTTTCACTTTTCTTGGTTGACAGGTATTGCTTACCGAGATTGATTTCTAATTTCCGCCATGTGTCTTTCACTTCAACAGCCACGCCGTCAGTTTTAACCATGCTCTGGATGTTTGTAAGCTGACCGGTGCCGTGTTGTTCTGCGTTGGAGGAACCTCCATGGCTGTGGGTCTCCTGCTATCTGCCTTTGCCAAAAGCTACTCCAAAGAAGAACTGTACCTGCAGCAGAAGTTCAAAGAGAGGTTGGCAGATCTGCACGCGACAGTTGGTAAGCCTTCACTCTGTACCTCGTTTATAGACATTTGTGAACGGTTAAACAGCAACTGCAATAAAGTAAATGATCAACTTGGTCTCATTAGCGGAGCAATTCAAACTGATGCGTGAGTAGACGTCTTGATAGGGATGCACAAGGCACCCTTTAGCGTTAGTGTAAGACGCACCAGGCAGTAAACTCATTAATGCTGTTACAAGACACTCAGAGTGAAGGATGCTTATAAAGATAGAAAAAGTACACTAATGTTGGGAAGAATGGAGGAGTACAGGGTGAGTAAAACACATTTCACCTAGAGAAGCTGCATCCATGTCCCCTGTGAAACCAAATGTTGAGGTATTTTAACAGATGTATTCAGATCAACAACATTAGTCATTTCAATCCAAACCAACATTTGTTTTCAAATGAGTAGGTTTCTTACCCAGACCTAACCACAACAATTTCTCAATTCTAACCATGCGACCGCTTCACATCATTTACCAAACACACACCTTTAACATCCATGATTAATACGCAAAAAGGCAGCCAACTTCAGCAACACATCAAGAGTAGATATGAGATGTTGATGCAGCAAACGCTTTTCTTTTTACTGTTAGGCTGAACTCAAACTACTTTGTATAGATATCACTCCTAGCAGAACTGCTGTTCTCACAGGTACCCCCATCATGAAACCACCGACCCCTGGAGAGGGAAGGGTGCCAGTCACGCTTTCCAAAGTCCAGAACATCCAGCCAGCGAAAACAAAGTCGGAGACCTGACAGAAGATCAAATGAAGGCATAAAGTGAAGAAGTGCGTGTGATGACTGTGTAAGAGTGCAAATAAGTGTGTGTCTGTGTGTGTGTGTGTGTGTGTGTGTGTGTGTGTGTGTGTGTGTGTGTGTGTGTGTGTGTGTGTGTGTGTGTGTGTGTGTGTTTGAGTAGAACTATGCGTACATTTTCTCTTTTCAAAGGTCAGCTTACATGACTGATAGTATTTGCTCTTCATCTTCATTTGCTATGTTTGACAGTAGAGTTTGATTGACGGTTAGATGGGAGCAGAGTTTAGTATAGCTGAGCAAAGTTTAAGCCTTTTGTTTTTTCTACAGCAGTTATATGCAATTCATAGTGATCTGACAAAGCACATGCAGGTCTCGAGCCCTACCCAGAAAATAAACCACAGAAAGAAATCAATAGAACACAGCCACTGAACAACAACAACATCATTTCTTCCACCAAGCATGTTTCTGTGGAGAGGATTCACATTTTTGTGAAAGAGAATGGTGTTACTGCTGGAGGGTATCGAGCAGCAGATGCTGCGTTGTTTGAAGTATTTTGTGATCGGACCCCCATTACAAGAAAATGATCAAAAGAAGACCTCAACACAACAACCATTATCTCTGCTAGTGTTTAAAAGGACATCAGAGGGAGCTTTTCTGAGTGAACATGCTTTGTGTGTACATGTACACATGCTGTTTATGCAGCATAACTTCATTACCACAGTTAGTAAGAGCTGTCAATCACAAACACACACTATGAGGATATGTGCTTCAGCTGAATACTTATTTAAAGTTATGTTTGTGTGCAAATCGAGCCAAGTCTTAACAGATAATTTGACAGAACATCAGCAGAGCAGACAAGAGATCAACACAGATTGGAACAGACCTCCAAGGCAGATTTCAACTTAAGCCGCCTTTTTTCTGTCTTATTAGGCCTCTGACCTTGTCTCCTTCAGTGAATCTTCAGAGGGGATCGATAGGCAAGACAAGAAAGATTGATGAAAGGTGAACCAGACAGAAGAGGCAGAACTACATAGTCTGTCACTTAACAAAATAGTATATCAGCTAGAATATGTCTTTCCAGATAACCAATTAAAACAAGGTATACTGACCAATTTGAAGTATAATTCCTTATTAATGTACTAAAAGTGTGCTATTTTCAATACTAACAATGTTCTTACTATGCTAATTAATTATTGTTGGCAAATGTAAACTTAAACACAATTAAGTGTTGTATATAGGAAATTACTTTACAGAATTATTAAAAATGTGCAATTGTGTATATATTTATCCAAATGCTGTTTGATTATAGAACAGTCAAGTACTTTCAAGAGTATATTTATAAGTCCTAGAGGTAAAACAATAAGTATACTAAGTACATTGTTAGTACATCAAACATAGCACATTGTTCTTGTGTATATTGAAGGAGACTAAGTATTTTTAAATGAGAAGTACCTAATATTCTTTAAACTTGGTTTTTCAAATAATAATATACCTTCTATCTCTGATGTTTTCCTAAACACCCATGCTCCTCCTGTATTTGTTTCCTTCTCTCACTGTAACAAACACAAGCATGTAGACACATGCCTATCCATCCAAGCGTGCACAAACGTGCAGGGAAAGGTAAATTTGGCAAATAAAAAAAGAAGACGCAGGTGGTGGGTGTTAAAATGAAGACAAAGAAAGGGCCCACCAAGCGAAACAAACAACGTGACAGATTATGTAAGATAACGAAGAGAGAGAGAGAGAGAGAGAGAGAGAGAGAGAGAGAGAGCATGCAGTTCTCCAGTGAGTCACATCAGCTACTTTGTGTTTAGCAGCGCTCTCTGTTTACAGCCTGTCTAGGTTCACAGATGCTCTCCACACAATAACTGCCTTCCTGCTCTCACACACAAAACTTGAAGCTACATCATGAAGTATGCTGAACAGCACCCAGTACGTGTGTCTCATGGTTGCATATTCAGTTGGGTACTATCTTAGAGACAGAAGTTAAATTAAAAAGGTTTATTTATTTTATTTTTGAATTCTATAAAAACTCTGCGCTCACACACGCTGTGACTTTAACTAACAAGCACAATAACCTGCTGATGTGCATGATTTTTTTAACTTTGTCTATTTTAAATTTATATTTTAAATATTGTGACCATGCCATTTTAAATTGTTCAATTTGTGGTTGCTCCTTGTTTGTTGGTTGTGCATCCAATGCACAAAGACACAAGTTGTGTGGTCAAAATGCAGCATTTATTTTGTACTGTTAGAAAACATGTTTTGTGGTAGAGACAGTCCAAGTGCCATCAAGCTACACGCCTCATTCTGTGCTTCAACGCTGCAGGGCTTTCCAAACTCTTCAGAATGATGCAGCAACAATGCCAGAAACACCCTGTATAAAGTAATATATGTTTATTCATAGACATATATAATAGAAGCTTTAGCATCCATTGCTCTGCTGGCTACCTATGTTCATGTAAATTGACCTTTTAATATCCCACAGCCTTCATTCCATTATTTGATGACATTTTAACATATTTTGGTCTCAGAAACAACACACGTGTAGCTATAACTATGAATACAGATATACTTATAGGTTAGACATGTGGAAGGAATATTACGCAACCACTGTTAATCTGCAAATACAGTACAAGAAGAAAAAACAATCACTTAAAAACAAACGTTCAGTGTGGTCGGAGCGTTATGAAGTGGTCAATACATGTTCTGACTTGTAGCTCCATGCTGTCAATTGTGAGTTTATTTTGTATTCTTCTCTGGACCAAAGTTGAGTTCTGCATTACAATCCCAACATCTGCGATGGATATTTTTCTGCTCTGAGTTCCCAGTTTTAGTGTCTCCTGATGTACCGTGGATTCTCCCAGTAAATAATACAAATAAAAGAGTATACTGTACCTATCGGAGGTTGGATTGGAAAAGAAAAAATATATAAAGATATCAATGTCTATATACAGTATGTCTATTTTTCAAAGAACACAATAAAGTTGAAATATCCACTGCTCATAATGTCTGAAGACTGTGTGCATCCTTTTCAAGAGACACATCCTCACTTAACTACTTATAGCAAATGAAAATACAACATATAATTATATCACCACTATAGTTGTACTGTACAGCTTAAATATGTGTTCTTATTGTGAATGTGTCTCTGGTTTATGTAGTCTTGTTTTGCTGTTAATATCATCTTTACATACATGGAGTACAGGGTAACTTCAATACACTCTACACGTTTATCAATGTATTTTTGTATTTCAAAATAGTGTGGCCTACGGAAGACCTGAGAGTCAAGGTGAACAAATTAGATCTCCTACATTTAGGACATCATTTTGTGTTGAAACACATAGAAGCGCAAAGGCTGTTGCGATCTTTATATATACAATTATCAGAATCTATTAATTACTTGACACAATTTTTCTAAGAATCTTGAGTCTGACCATTAAGCAGATTAATAATTTTCCTTATTTAATTTAGATTTAAAAAAGTATGAACATACAAGACAATCTATTCCGCATAAGAGGTTTTATTTAACATTGAACCCCAAACAAAACATAACTTTCTTGCCTCTCAGGGCTTACTGTGTCACATTGAGACGGAAAACAAAGGAAGGATGAGTAATTATAGTATCTGGTTTTCATTAATAAAACACTTCAAACCGTCAATGGTGTTCCGACAGACGAAACGAGTAGAAGCTCTTACTGTAATCAATCAGGTAAGTCATTCAGAAGAAGTGTGTCTGAAGTCTGTGCTGTTCAGGGGCTTATTTTCACACCCACCCACACACACCCACCCACACACCCACCCACACACACACACACACACACACACACACACACACACACACACACACACACACACACACACACACACACACACACACACACACACAAATCCCAATGTGAACAGCTGCAGGGATGAGAGGGCAGCGAGGACAGAATTAGATCACAGTTCACACTTGCATTACAAATCTACATGTCTACATTTCATTACAAATCTCGCCTCGCCTGTGTTGCTGATTACAAATGTCCGAGACCTAGTTCTGTTATCAGTGTCACTTAGAATCTTCTTGCCTAAGATATTGTGTACATAAAAACATATTTGATTTGATACAAGTAATGCAACATTTAACTGTATCGCTGTAAGCCCTCATGTTATTGTGCATACGTTATTATCATGCACACAATTCAAAAAATGAATGATTTGAATGAAAAGCATGATGTGTACGAACAATGTGTTGGTCTGACTGTCAATATAATGACAAACATGCTGTTGCTCACCATGTTGTCATGGTTAGAACATGGTTGTCATGCTAACTCTGACATCATCTAACATATCAGTTGTCCTAGCAACATGGACACCATCACTGTTGCTGGTGGATCCATCTATCTAGGGTGAAAGCAAAATGATTCCGTTCAAGTAGCTACATTTTAATGAGCTTCATCAATGCAAAATCATTTTAATTTAAAACATACAAAACAACGCATTAGTAAATATTAAAGTGTTGACCTGTCATCTACTTCACATAAATCCATTTTACAATTTCACAAACACTGTTTACAGTAAAGTCAAAAAACAACACAGTTATCATAATCACACTTTAAGTATTTTTTTATTTGTGTTGACAGCTTTGAAGTGATGTTATGATGAAGTGACAGACATCACATTATGTTTGGTTGAATCCCTCCCTGTAATGTTCACTTCATTATATTTATGGTAAAAGATATATATAAATAAACAAATATGCATAAGGACTATATAATGAGGAATTCATATTGGAAATTCACAGTATGCATACAACATTACCCAACGTACTTACAAAAGAAAGTTCATTTTTATCACTTGCAAACCATACAATCATGTTTAAAACAAGAAAGTAAAATCATACCTGATAAAAATATGTATTTAAAAAGAAAAACATATAATAACTGTATAAATATATATTTAAGTTCCCCAGCATCACACTGAAACAAGCAGCCCAATAATTAACAGCATGTCTTAATTACAAATAGGAATATATAACTAAAGCTCTTTTATAACTTGTTTCAAAATAGTTGTTAAATACATACCTGCAGTTTAGATCATAAGGCAGCCATTCAAACTGTCTTTTCTTGACATTTGGGACATTGTTTTTATTTAAATGCAGATTCTACGTGGCCGTTGACTTTCTTTTTGCTCTGCCACCTTTATTATTAATATATTGTATTCTATTGCTTACTATTATGAGCATTCCTTTTCTTTACTAATCCTTCCTGCTTTGATCTTGCTTGTCTTGCTTATCACCCGCCGCCTCTTTCCCTCCATTTTCTGCATCATCTTTGGCTGAATCCTCCTCCATGTCCAGTTCTGCTCCGCTCTCCTCCTCCTCTTCCTCTCCGCTGACCTCTCCATTCACCTCTCTCTCCTCTTCCCCTGACTCTTTGGTTGCTCCCTCTTTTGCTTCGCTCTCTTCCTCTCCCTGGTTCCCGCTGCTTCTGCTACTTCTCCCGTTATCGCTCTCTTTTGTCTTGTTATGTGACCGAGTCTTCCCCGGGTCACGGCTGTTTTCTGTCTCTGTCTGTTCCTCCCCCGTGTCTACACCATTAACTCGCTCCTCTCTGCTTTGTTCACCCTTCCCACTGTCTCTATCTCTCTTCTCTTCTTCTATATGTGTGTCTTCCCTTTCCCCCTCAGAAGAAGTATGGTTTCCATCTTCTTTCTCTTTGCTGTCTGAGGTCTTCTCACTGCTGCTTACGCTGGACCCCTGCTTCTCACCGCTAACCTCCTCCTTACTCTCCTCCGTGACATCTTCCTTCACTTCTTCCTTCACCTCCTCCTTACTCTCCTCCATGACCTCTTCCTTCACTTCTTCTTTAACCTCCTTCTTACTCTCCTCCGTGACATCTTCCTTCACTTCTTCCTTCACCTCCTTCTTACTCTCCTCCGTGACCTCTTCCTTCACTTCTTCTTTAACCTCCTTCTCCTCAGATCCCGCTGTTGCCTCTCCCTCTTTTTTATCATTTTTCTCATCCTTATCCCCTCCCTCTTTTTGTCCACTCGTCATCTGGTTTTCCTTCCTTTCTTCTTTGATAGCAGAAGTGTCTTCTTCGGTGGTGTTTTCAACCTCCTCCTCCTTCTCTCTCTGTTCTTCCTTTTCACCATTCTGCTCTGCGGCCTTTGCTTCGTCATCATCGTCTGCAGGTTTCTGTAATGCAATAACACCACAGAAAGAATTTATAGCTCTAAATATTTTATGTAATGTAATTGGATTGTTTACAATAATTCTCCCCGTGACCTACACTTTCCTGAAAGAGAGTGATAGCGCTATTGAATCATGAGCACTTACAAATCAAGTGGAGCCAAAGCCTTACGTTTTTTTTGAAAACGCTTTTTATGGCACTCGCCAATCAATATAGTAACACAGACGTTGAAAAATATGAGTCAAACCGGTGGTAATGTAACAAAATATACGAATATTAACAATTCTACATGTTTAAATAACGTTTTTTTGGCTCATAAATCTAAAATTATACGAATCTACAAAACTAAACTAGGCTAGCAGACTCAATAATAATTCTCCGGGTATCATGAGAGAAGCAGAAATGTACTACTTTTTAGAAAGACACCATTTATTGCTTCGGAACTGGTGCATAATCGATAGTTTACCTCATCAGCTGGCTGGTCTTGGGAGGTCTTGTCCTCAGCGTTTACATCATCATCCTTTGATTCAGGGTCATCTGGAAAAAGATAGATAATGCAGTTATATAAACTCAGGACATTCATAATGGGCTGATTACACAGAAATGACGTCTGTTTCTTTAAGAAAGTGAATCAGGGCGTATACTGTAGAAATCAACGTGCTCCAGCCTGGAGTGTGTCATTGGGTTTTGAATGGGTTTCTTAGGGGCAATATAACATGAGGGTGAGTCATGGTGTTCATCATGGTGTAAATACGTCAACATGTGTTCCATCTTATACCGGCTTCAATAGACTTCTTCAGGGCAAATCAGACGAAACAGAGACAGAGGGGAATTAAAATAATATGCATTTCATCGTTATAACAATTTGACTGACATTCTGGTTTGTAGAAGCTCAACAACACCAAATGAAGCAGAGCACCAAGCAAAATATGTATTCAGATGTATTCATTGCCATCTAAAATCCTCATACAATCACTTTGCTTTGTATTCTCTAATGTCATTTTACAGTTTTATTATGAGGAATATTGCTGACTATTTGTTAGGCCCTAAACCCAGTCAGAATCCATTAAATCAATTCAGAAATCCATAACACGTCTCTTACAAATAAGGGAGCTTTTATCCATCATTCAGTGAGTGACTTGTTGAAATGATCAATCTTTTATACCACAGTCTATGTTTTTCAGCCTTCCTCGAAACAAAACACAGCACAAGAGTGACACCTGGTGGTGAGGAGGAAAACACCCACGAGTATTTCAGGCAAGTAAACAACTTCCAGGGACAATGGAAGTGTGGAGGAGAGAGATAGAAAACATGAACGCAAGATCAGGACAGGAAGAGACGGTGAGCAAATGTGCAATATAAATTGAATTTTTAAGCATTTTAATCACCATAAACCCCCACGTACATATACGTATATTAAGGTAGATGTTTTTGTATTGTAACCAAACATTAAAGACATTCTTTACACTGGCTTTTACTGTTAGAATTTCAACTAAAAATTCACTTTTGATCACAGATTCAATCTGAAGCTTTTTCGATTTCCAATCAATTTTTTTATCAACGTTGTTGCTGCAGTCATTTAATACTTTCTTGGAAGACACAATATGTACAGACTGAATAATGTAACTAAGGTTGGTAGATTGGACACAAGAAAATCAATCAATCTGCCACAGTAACAGCCTGTCAGATTACAACAACATACTGTATCCTGCCCTGTCCCCAGAGGAATCACCTGTCATCATTTACAGTCTAAGCAACTGCATAATGATATTGTGGAATGTGATGTTTCAATGAGAACATCACAACCACAACTGCACACCAGCTGCACACTCGCTTTTATTGAAGCAATCAGCTCTGCAAGGCAGGTTTGTTGGAGTGCAAAATTAATACCTTTTTTTTCTTTTTCATGTGAGCATGTGCATCAAAGGCCTAGGAGTAATTAACCCTAAACATCATAAGAGGAATACAACTATACGCTCTGATAAACAACATAATTACACACTTGTTTTGAAACACTGGATGAGACGGAATATTCCAATCAGAAATAAGCGGCAAAAACAGTAAGGGGGGAAAAAAAATACCAGAATGGAATAATTAATGTCTTTAATATGAGTTTCCCTTTCTACACATACCAGTTAAAGAAGAATAATGACTCGGGTAGAGATTAGAAGAGTTTATGGAGACATTTTATGCATTTCAAATGCAAAACTGATTGAAGTTTAGCTATGGTGGGAGATGAAACGTTATGGTAATAATAACGGACCTCTTTAAGAATATTTTATGGAAATCGCTCGCATTCATTAATGGCCGGACGATTGAGTGTAAGCAGTAAGCAGTGGATGAGCCGCCGAGACTCTAAACATCTTAACGTGATTTGAGGATGAGACACGGGCTCATGAAAATGCTAAATCGAATTAAATATTTACAATATCCCCCTCCTTGCTCTTCAATAAATCCAGTAGACTCGGGTTCTGGTGTTGCAAATGGCTTGACAGTGTGTGTGTGCAAGTTTATGTCTGTCTGGCATACACACACAGATACACGTACACACATCCCTTCTTTAACTTCAACACTATTGGCACACGATCTCAGACAGAGTGTACCCACACTTCTGAAGTAATGCTACATCTCATTCATCAGTGTGAGGTAAACATGTAAGAGTGTATAATTACTCATATAAATGGCTCTCGCTGCCATTCTTATGAAAGGTAAAGTTATAAATGAATGTTGTTCCACAGAAATGTAATAAAGCATAACTGAAGATGAAGTGATAGCAGATAGTAAACTATAATATCACACACACACACACACACACACACACACACACACACACACACACACACACACACACACACACACACACACACAGTGCATTCCGACTGCAGGATGTTTAGTTTTAGGAATGTGCTTTTAAAATAAAAACACTTCACTTGTGATCTCAATATGTACACCTTGGCTACATAGAATGACATTGTGCAGCTTTGATCTGTGTTTCCATTTGATGTGCTCATCCAATTCTAACACACCGGGGGAATCCAGTGTGCAGTTTACACCAGGTAACACTATGTTAATACTATTCCATTAAATATATATGACTTATATTCATCAACTCAATTAATAAAACAACTAAATGTATCAGAGCCGAAACAACCCCCTGATGTCCCCTGTGCTCGGGTGAACCCTGGACCTGAAATAAGTAATTGTTTTCTAGTCCAAGTAAAGTGTGAGCAAAACCAATGCATTGTTTAATTTATTCCATGTGATAAAAGGGATTGTTGCCAATCTTCTCTCTTTTTTTTAGAGAAGTTGTAGCAATGAGTTTGAACTCAGCAGGGAGTTGGGTAGAAATTGACGTGTGAATAAAGCTTTCATTTTGTGGGACAGCAACAAAGAGTGACATATATATATAGAGTATATTTTATCATTGTATCTTTTCATTAAAGTGTGTCAGTGTTTTCCTTACTGCGGAGTGGAAGTGAGTAATCATGTCTAGCAGAGACACCCAAGGTCTAATATCATGTTTGAAAGCTTTTCCACTCCGACAGGAAGGGTTTCTGAGAAAAATCCATACAGCACAATCAAGTTCTTGACTCCACAGGATATCTGTAGCACACCAGGGCATGGATCTTTTTTTTCTTCCGTGCAAATGGAACCGCAAATTGGTTTGTTGAGTATGAATATGTTGCTTTTAGCAGCTGTGAAGTCATTGTGCTGGAGAAACCTTTTTAAATGCCGTGTATATCCTTTATTCTGGTTTCCTTGGGGACTGTTTGTAATTCTTCTTCAGTTACGAAATGTTCTCAGAGCTGTGACACTTCTGGCGAAACGTATCGAACTGAACAAAGCTTTTCTCAGTCTTGAGATCATACTAGACCAAAGCATATCAGTGAGGTGTTAAGCTAAAAGGTAACTTGAGATTTGACATAAGCGAAACCAAAAATAATGCAAAAATGTTGCCTCTTTTGTAATAATTCCACTTATAACACTATTTATAAGTTACCATCAAATGATCAGCATCCATCCTTTACAGTGTAAACTTGTTTAATCACAGCATGGTGTTTGCCAATATATTCCTTGAAAGGGAAGGAATGCTAAGCCAAAGTAGGCCTCTATAGCCACAGCATAATTACATATATATGTTTGTTACTTCATCCTTTCAGCTGTTAATATGCGCCATGAGACACTCACACATTTGAACTCTGACAGGCTGACATTTTACTTTACAAGCTCTTAAGGAAGACATGTTCTTGAAAAGGCTTTTGATGCCATGGTTGGTAGAGCGTCTGTGTGTTTTGTTTAGGTTAAAGGAGAGCAGGATATTTATTTTTTCCAATCAAGTTATGAAAAATACATTTCTGAAAGGCAGAGGTTATACAGTAGCTGTAGGTAACTACAAATCACTTATTTTAGCACATAATATCCATGCTTGTAAACCAACGCATGGATAAATCTTTGGTGTGGCCTCTACAAGCCAATTTTACTTTTAGCGGATTAGCTCAGCAGTGTTTAATACACATTTGACGTACTACTTAATGTACCTAAATCACCCAACCCAACACCTCCTATACATCACCATACAGTACAGAGTATTGCTTATTTACACCCAGCTGATTTAACCCACTCAGCACATGGCTGAGTTATGGCAGGATGTAAAACAACATGGGTAGTAACTCTGAATGGTAATTATGAAATGTTGCCACTCAGCAAGTGTGCTCCAGTCATTGGCCAGGGTCCTGTTAAAGCCTTTAATGACGGCATGGCCGGCCACCAGCGTGAGAAAGGCCCAGTTGGTATTGGGTTTATAGTGATGTGACACGCAGAAAAACAATCCATCTGCTCAGTGTCAAATCTGATGACTGGATATTGTGCTTGTTCATCTGTTTCTCTCTCTCTCATGCATACACACAATATATTTTTATTGTAATTCATATGTTTATGAGGCAAAATGGCACAAGAGAATAATTGAGTTTATAGTGATGCATGTTTTACGGTCGACACGGCAGAGAATCATAGCTGAGCACACCTTATTAATCATATTTGTTATGCTGATGCTTTACAAAACAACCCTTTTAAAAAGGAACACCAACGTTTGTACACCCTAAATAAATACAGTTGTCTAAAAAGAGCATTACTTTGCCTGGCAAACATGTTCTGTGGCTGTATTGGAAGCATTTCTCATGACAGATGCTATTAAGTTGCGTTAAGAGGAATTTGAGAACCAGCATTTTCAGAGCAAATTAGGAAATAAAAGTCACAATATCTCGGCCCCTATTGCTTTGACCCTTTATTTAAAAAACGGTTTCTTTTGGGTGCCTGAGCTTAATGAAAGTGCACATTCTGAATTGTCCCTTTCAAGCAATGAGCATGGTGGAAGCTGTGCTTAAGAATAAGGATCATAAGTAAAGCGTTTTTAACAGCAAATTCACTAAAAACAGACACAAAGCTCTTATATTGTATTATTGTAGGACATATGCAGAAGTTAAGTTTATCAGTGTATAGGATTATTTACGTGAAGCTTTTTTCCAGGATGCATATGA